TTCAGCAGTAGAACACAAGGAATTTTCTTCGAATAACAGAGTATTTCCTTCAGCCAAAGGTTTGGCGCTTTCTCCATAGCGCACGCTGTATAAACTACATAGAGCATTGCATGCAGCTGCGTCAGAAAAGTCCTGTATGCCCTCAAAATGTCACACTTGCTTAAGAGAAAACTGAGCAAGACCTGCTCAGGTATTGGATTATTCTACAACTTTTCCAGTGGGACTTGAGGTGACTTTAGAAGTGACAGGAAAGCTCTCAAGGAAAACTGAGCTCTGCCAGAAATAACCTCACAGTTTCCTGACCAGATGACATAGGCAAAGAGAAAAGATTTCACCTTCAGAGGTCCCTGCTCTAAATGTACGATGAGAAATGCATTGGTATAAAGTACAGGATGGATCAGCACCACTCACAGTGTTACAGGGATTGCGTTTTCCTGCTGTTCAGTTTTGGAAGCTGGCAGGCAGTGGTGCTCCCGCAGCTGCCTTGCACAGCCGCATGGCTTGTAGCGCTCAGTGCGCATTTCCTAACTCGGGCTGTTTGCTCTTTTCCATTAAATGGAGCATCAGGGAATTCATGGAAGTGTTGCACAACCTTGGCTTTGGCTCTTAAGGAAAGTCTGAATTTCACATGTTTTATCGTGTCAATGCGTAATGCAGAACCAAAGGAAAAGGAGAAAAAAAAAAAAGACACAAAACTCCATTTCCCCCCACCAAACCACAACCTGAAGAGATGCAAGCAGAGGCCACTGTTGACAGCTACGTGTTCAGGACAGTAAAGCACACATTTTGCACCACAGGAAGCGGAAACTTTGTTCAGTGGGAACAAAAGACGCCAGGAATAAGCAGAACTTGTGCTGCCCGTGGCCCCGCAGCAGCAAAGTCTCATGGCTGCAGTCACCCCGGGACAGACAGCGCCAGGACAGGAGCCAGCCCCGTCAGAGATGCCCTGGACTTTCTGCCAGTCAGAACAAGCTCCCCACGCTTCCAGGGAGCATTTCTCTTGCTGCTTAAGAACACCCCAACCCACTCGCAAACAGACCGGCCTCCCCGAGCAGCTCGCCTCGGGCCACTTCTAGGGGAATTGTGGTCACATTTCATCAGCGCCAGAAAGAGCCGATCCCTGCTGATGTCAGGGTTTGGACTTTGCTCAGAGTAACCAAGGGAAGGAAGTCATTACTGGGAGGCAACTTTTACCCCGCTGAATTTGTCACTTCCTCAAAACTCAGCAGCACGGCCTCACACCTCTGTTTTCAACACCAGGCTACCTTTACCTGGAGGAACAGCTTGGGGTTCTGTTGTTAATTCTTCCTTCGTACCAGCTGAAGCTAAGTGTCTTTTTATTGAGTCCCTTCTTGTTGGTTTGTGCTTGGTAGTTCGCTTCAGCACTCCCAAATCGTCACTGTTTCCCTAGGGAAAAGGGAAAGAATTGAGAAAGTTGCAGGAACACACAGACACCCAGGGGCTTGCACCTTTCACCCCTTTAAACTTGCACAGATACAACGCATCAGGCCACAGAACCGCAAAGGGCACTGCCACAGCCCTGAGGCCTTCAGCCTCCCCACCTCTTCACCCTTGTTTTGCAGGAGGCGAACCTGGCACAGACCTCACCTGGGGTCCTCGGAGTGCAGCACCTTTCCGTTGCACTCAGCCTCCTGACAGCCAGGCCAGCACTCAAAAGCATTTTGCCTTTGAAAACTGAAATTGCAGAGGAGAGACCCCTGCCCGAGCCCCCTGCACAACTGGAGGCGGCTTCCAGGCAAACTGAAGACAAACTCCAATCTGAGGGCTCAAAAATCAAAACTCCTGCTAAGGGGGGGCAAGAGGGCAGGTATTTATCAAAAGCAAAGTTTGAACTGAACTCACTGCAGATGCTTCCAAATGCAGGAACACTATATTTATTAGGTCAATATTTCATTTTAGCAATACAGTTACAGAATATCACAATGCTGGTTACAAACATAGTATGGTTTGATGGTTACAAATAATGTCGGGCACTGCAGTCTGCGAGAAGGAAATGAAATGTCAGTCTCAACAAGTAGGGTGGTCTTCAAAGTCCAGTAATGACCAAGATACGCTCAGAAATGAATGTGGCACTACAGGCAGAGATTCTGGTTTAGAGGTGGGTTGGTGTGAGTCGTTCGATTTATACAGTTACACAGTTCAAGCAACATCTTTTTTTAAAATGCTATTAAATTAAAATCCCCTGTAGTTCAATAAAGTATAAAAATAGTACTGAACCTGGTAATATTCAATAAAATGTAGAGTTCATTCACATCATTAAGTAGTAAAGAAATTGTAAAGTTGTAGTTACCATGGCAACATCGCTTCCCATACAGGAATATACATAAAAGAGAAAGAGTTACACATATGGTACCTGCGACAATTATTTAGCGATCCAACACTGAACTTGTGCACCACAAACCAAGTTTCTAAATATCTCTATATATTTATATAGTATATATCTTTTTCATCTTAAAATTTACTTTTGAAAAAAAAAAATGTGCACTTCAACAAACTCACTAAGGCCACTCATGCTATAGATACCTAGGATTGCAATGAAATATTGTTAGACAAGACCCTAGAGCACGCACCTTTTATCACCAAAGGGAAACCTGTTCCACTGCCTAAAACATTCCTGAGATTTAGGGACAAAAGCATTACCAGCACCACCAATTTTTCCTATGTGATTTAGTTTATTCTAGGTAAAGGAAATCTCTTCCCCACTTCTCACCAAAATCCTCACAAGGCCAAGAAACCCCTGGGTGCAACAGGCCCGTGGTGTCCAACAGGGGAACATCCACAACAAAGTCACATTTGCAACAGACATTTGGCTAGTCATTTTCTTACTATAAAAGGAAAAAAAGGGGAACAACGACCTTTAGATAAAATCAGGTTTCCGCGCAGGCAGCGCAGGGAAGATCTCCATTATCTCCTGGTAACGGCGACACCTCCCCACGCTCTGCTGCCAGCCACAGAGTCCAGCTCGAGCCACACAAATCAAGCCCATTTTTGTCAACAGCTTCAATCATGTTTTAGGCACAACGCGTTTTCCTTTTAGTACTCTACCAGTATGTTTGACTATAAAGAGGAAATCAAGTTAAATGTGCATTTTTTTGTACCACGAGAAGCAGTGCAATGGCACCTTTAGCAAATTTCAGACTGCAGCACATTTAAAGAAAAACTTCGTCTCTGAAGTTACAAAAGAACATCGTTATCCTCGTAAGTTGGAATTCAACAACAAACACCCTTCAGAATTATTTGACAAAAATCATGTGCAAAAAAAGTCTCAAACAAGAGGTATGGATACAGAGTCAAGAGTGCACATGAACACTGGGATACCGAGGCGGACACTTACTGCTTTTAAATAACGTCATGCTATCAAAGTAACCAAACTGTTCGGGGCAAATAGTCACTGGTGGTTCTACTTCAAGTAGCTGAGGGATATATTTATTTTCAAATGTATTTCTGTTACCCTCCCCTGCCCCTTTTGCCAGCTCTTAAAGTCTTTGTACGCTTTTCTCCTTCCATAAAACACCACCCAGAACAGCCCCAGTCCTAAGAACGGCGCAGGAATCCTGCCATCATCCTCCTCCGCTCTTTACAGACTGCGGCATTCGCGCACAACAGGACATACAAGTTACCGATTCAAACAACTTTAGGCTGCAAATAACATATTAAGGGTTTAATTTAAACAATAATTAAAATAATTTTCCTTAAAGGTGATGCCTGTCCTCACCACTTGCATCCAGTAAG